ATCTCATTATGATTCTAAAGGAACTACTTTAATGATAATGAAGGACATAATTACCATGTAAATATATTTAAATTGTAGGTTCTAGTATATTTGTGGTTTTGTTGTTTTGTACTTTTTTTTTTGAAACAGAGTCTCACTATTTAGCCATGACTGGCCTGAAGCTGGCTGTGTAACTATGGAGATCAGGCTACCTTTGAACTCAGATCTGTTTGCCTACCTCCAAAATGCTGGGTTTAAAGGCATGTACCACAATGCCTGGTCTCTAGTATATTTGAAAAGCCATTTTTCCTTTCCTTTCCTTCCCCTTCCCCTTCCCCTTCCTCCCTTCCTCCTTCCCTCTATCCTTCCCTCCCTTTCTCCCTTCCTTTCTTTTTGTGCACTCCTTTGGATCAAATCCAGGACCTCATATAAACATACTAGGCAAGTGCTGTATCACTTAGCTGATGTTTCTAGCCTTCCATTTTTTTCTGAAGACTACTAAATAATTACTGAGACTCTCTTTGACTTTGAAATAAGTCAATACATTTGTGTTCCAAATGTAAAAGAAAGTTCTGATCAAGCCACCATCTGAACCTGTTGAATCTAAATGAATGGAATTTAGATCAGTGAAGTAGTGTTGTATATTTTCCCTTAAGAGATTTAAAAGTAATAAACTCAACTTTATACATACTAAATGTACTCAGCAATTCAGATGAAATATGACAATTGTAAGCAAGTGCAAGGTTTATTGATGAGGGCTGGGAGTGTAACTCAGTGATAAAGAACTGACCTGCACCTGGGCCTGAGTGTGATCAATCCAAACAAAAAGGAAGGGCAGGTCTATAAGAAGGCCTAGCCAAACCTAGAAATACTTCCTGCCCAGAGGACAGAAAGTATTTGAGAGGTAGGAGCTGTGTGGTTGCCAACACGTCACTGTGGTTAAAAGTGAGAGACTGAAACACTACCAAGCCCTATATTTGAGAATGTGTATACAGATGTTTGGGAATGGAAAAGCAAAATTGTGAAAGTACATACTTGTTTAGAAACTTCTTTATTTATTGAGACAGAACCTAACTATGTATCCCTGGGTGGGCTGGAACTCGATACAAACCAGCTAGCTGTTCTTGAATTTGTGGTGGTTTGCCACTTACCCCCAAGTGTTAGGATTACATGCATGTACCACCATGCCTGGCCAGAAACTGCTAATAAATTGGAGCATAGTTATTAAAATTGATGTATTAATGATCTTGGTAGCATAGAATAAGTACATAACTGACTTCCTTGAACATATTTGAAATCACCCTTTGATATTTTCTGGGATGGGTAGCAACTTCCTCTCCGTGCAGAGAGAAAGGCACCATAGTGCCCTAGCATTTTGCAGTAGTGTGTAGTATGAGTCAAGAAAGCTATTAAGTACGTGAGTTGATGTTTCTAATATCTAATTATGTGACCAAGTTTTCAGACTTCATTATTTTATTCCCTTTTAAAATGACAGTCAGTTGCCTTAGATAGTTTCTAATGCATGATCTACTTCTAAAGTGCTATTTCTAAATGTTATTTCCCACTCCCCCAAATTTAGCAGTTCTAATAGGGTATAGCTTATTTCAGTTTTAATTTTTATGTCTGCAATATCAGACATCTTTTCTTTACTGGTTCATTTGTCTTTATTATTGGTTAAATACCTTTTGTCAATTTTTAAATTGATTTTTGTCTTTCTACATTGTGAAAATTCTCTCTATATAAATTACATAATATAGATCCGATATAAATCCAGTATATAAATAATTAAATGTACACATGTGTATATATGTACACATATAAATATACATATTTATTTTTTACTTTTACCATGAGGAGGTTAAATTAGATGTTGTTCTTGAGTATGAACCACCTGTAGTATGCTGTCTTTGAATTTCACATTAGGACTTTTTTTTTTGCCTTCTAGAAGTGAGGCAGAGGGTTAATAAAGAAGTCTCTGTACTTGTTCCTGTGAGACGATTCATTTATGTAGCAAAGAAGTATACTGTTTAATTTTTGTCTCTGAAATTCAAATAAAATGCTTATGATAATATCTCCAGTGATTTATGTATATATATTTAGTGGTGAACATATGTTTTTCATTATTAAAAAATTTACCCTTATAATGTAGCATTTGTTCATGTTTGGAGTATATTTTTAGAAGTGGGTAGAAATTGCCAAATTTTCTTCAAGAATAGTTTTCTCAGAGCCGGAGAGATGGTTCATTGGTTAGGAGCACTCACTACTCACAAGAGGACCTGGGTTCTCATCCAAGTGCCTACATAGCAGCTTACATGGTTACAGAGGATCCACTGCTTTCTTCTGGACTCTGCAGGCACTTGACAAACATGGTATATAGACCTATATGCAGGTAAATACCCATACACTTAAATAATAATGACAGCATGTTTAAGGGGGTAGTTTTCTCTATAGGTGTGGTACTTAGCCTAATGTAGAGACTAGTAATGATTGCTGAATCTGCTTGACTGTGTACTATTTTAATAGTAGTTGTAGGGTAGTCATTTATCTAGTACCTCAATAGCTTGGCTGTGAGAGTTCAAAAGAAATAATACTCCAGAAAGTTCATACAGATTTAGAGAATTTGAGGAAGATGGAGTCATGGAAAGACAATTGTATGAAAACCATAGTAACACAACATGGCTGGCATTAATCCAGAGGTACCAGAGGCAGAGCTAATGCTAACAAGAAACCATGGTGAGGAATGTAGTCATTCATTTGTGGCCTGACCACTCATTTTTTAAACTAGGTTTAATAGAAGTTTAATTTACTTGTAATAAAATGTGCCTACTTTAATGCAGTCCAATGATTTCTGGTAAATCAATATCATTATATAATTACTACCTAGAATATCTTCATCACAATAGAATTAACTCTTCATTATGTCTTTGGAGTCAGCTCTCAATCCTAATTCTTCATTGTAGGCAGTCTTAAGTTTGTATCTATTGATTAGTTTAGCTTCTTTGCGAATTTTATATAAATGGAGTTACATAGCATATATTGTTTTCAAAAATTGTATTTATATAATTTATTATATTTGTGCATGCATGTGTATATGTGTATCTGTGGGCACACGTGATCTATGGTATGAATGTGAAGATCGTAGGCCAACTATAAGGAATTTAGTCTCTCCTTCCTTGTCAAGGCAAGATCTCTTTATTCTGCTGCCATCCTGATTACTCCAGCCTAGCTAGCCAGTGAACATCTGGGTGATTCTCTTGTCTTTGCTTCCCATCTGGCCATGGGAATTACAGATGTGAATCAATGGATACCTTGATTCCCAGGATTGAACTTGGATCATCAGTCTTATCCTGACAGCACTTTTAATTCCCAAGCCTTCTCTCTGTCCCATAGGTGATATTTTAAAAGATTTAAAAGAGATTTAAATTCTTATTTTAATTGTGATGTGTACATTTGTGTATATGTGTGAATGCAGGTGCTTACAGGGTCCAGAAGAGGGTGTTAGGTTCCCTGGAACTGGAGCATAGTGAATGTGCACAGGTGGTGCTCTTAGTGGCTGCAGCTGAGGGTGTATTCTGTCAGCACCCCAAGGACAGGCCAGTACTGATGCCTGAATACTAACCACACCTCCTAATCCTTCTCAAATAGTGCTACTCCCCACTGACTAAGCATTCAAATATATAACCCTATGGGGGCTGTTCTTATTTGGCCCTCCACAGAAGGCTATAGGGGTTTTGTTCCAGATTGTATTGTATCTTTAGATCATTCTGAGGCAAAAGGTTTAAGATCTGGGGTGGAAAACACTGGCAACTATGCTTAAACTGTTCCTTGGAAGATCTGAGTGGATGGTCTCCATGTTTACTGTGATTATGGTGGTTGATAGAATTGTTGGAACCTTCTAGGTCTTTATTGAATTTTTTCACATTCTACCATTTTTTAAGAAAAGTAGATTACATATTTTTAGTTATGACTGGATTTCTCTATTTTTCTTTTGTTTCTATTCATTTTGTTTTATGTGTTTTGAGGCTACTGTGATTGGGTATATATGCATTTATAATCACTTTAGCTTCCTTTTGTTGTGTGATATTTGATTGCAGTGACACTCCAAGGCAGTTAATAAAGTTAAACCTTGAATCAAGGGGCAGAGCCCATGACTCCCTAATCAAAATTAGCCATAGAGCTTTTGGAGGGCCCAGATAGAGAGGCACAGGAAGAGGTGGGGAAGGGGGTGTTGGAGAGATTTGCAGCCTTTTCAATCTGGAAGGGTGGAAAGAGAGGATCAGCTAGTTCCTCTGTTGCTTTCCTCATCTATCAGGTTTGTATCCCAATATCTGACTCCCAAGTTTTTATTAATAGTAGAACAATTTAGGTAAATGCTTCATTCTTTTATTACTATGAAATTTCCTTCAAGTCTAGAAGTAATTTTAATGTAAGATTTTTGCCTGGTATTAATATGTCCATTTAAAAAAGTTTTTTCATGGTATCTTTTTTCCGTTCTGCGATCTCTTTCCTACTCCTCCTTCCTTTCAAAGAATCCCTTCCTTCTTTCTTTTTTTGTGAGACTGAACTTCAGTAAGTTGCCCAGGCTGACCTTGAACTCCTAGGCTTAAGTGATTCCCCTAGCTTAGTCTCTCAAATAGTCTCTGTAGATTCTAGTGGGAGAGGGAGGGGTTGACTCCTCTGGTCTCATTGGTTCAGGTGCTGAGAGTTAACAAGGCTTCCCCCTACAGTTTATTCAGCTGGAATGGTAACAGTTTTTAGGACAGCTGTCTTTCCCTCAGCTGTTGGCTGTTCTAGTCACTGTTGTCAGTTCCGAATTATGTGGTACTATAGCACTTGGTAGAAAACAGCTTGAGTTTTCTGGGAAGTGCCTTTGTCTTTGGTCCAAGCTTTTGGTTGCAATTAGAAAAAAAGAGGATGCTTGTATCAGCTTGCTTTGAACCACCATCTCTTGTTGGATAGTAGTTTCTGTATTTTTAAATACAGAATATTGATTAACTTTCTCTGTTTATTTTGTTTTTCAGGCAAATGAAGAGAAAACAATGTCTGCCAACCTAAAGTATCTTTCCTTGGGAATTTTGGTGTTTCAGACTACCAGTTTGGTTCTAACGATGCGTTATTCTAGGACTTTAAAAGAGGAGGGTCCTCGTTACCTATCTTCTACAGCAGTGGTTGTGGCTGAATTTTTGAAGATAATGGCCTGCATCTTTTTAGTCTACAAAGACAGTAGTAAGTATCTAGGGAGAATTTTGCTTTTACTTTATTTAATTATATATATATATATATACATATATATATATATATATACACACACACACACACACACACACACACACACACATCTATATATGTAAATATATTTGTAACTGCAGATTTAATTTCTTGCATTATTTAATTTTTCTACACATTATTTAAATTCTCTAAAACATTTCAATATTTAAAAAAAACACATTAAGACAGAGCCCAGGAAGAGAGCTCAGCTGGTAAAATGCTTGCCATGCAAGTGTGAGGTTTGGATCTTCAGCACTCATATAACCAGTTGGGTGTGGCAGTATAAGTTTGTCATTTTAATACTGGGAGGCAGAGATAGGAGGACCGAGGAGCCTACTTGACAAGTTTGAGGTTCATTGAGAGACCTTGACTAAAATAAGGTAAAGAGCCACTGAGGAAAACAGCCATTTTCTCTCTCTCTCTCCTCTCTCCTCTCTCTCTCTCTCTCTCTCTCTCTCTCTCTCTCTCTCTCTCTCTCACACACACACACACACACACACACACACACACACACACTAGGCATTCTGGTATTTGTTTGTTTTTGAGATAGTTTCTCTGTGTAGCCCTGGCTGTTCTGGAACTTGCTCTGTAAACCAGGCTGGCCTAGATCTCTCATAGATCCTCACAGATCTGCTTGCATCTGCATCTTGAATGCTGGAATTAAAGGTGTGTGCCACCACCACCTTGTGGCACTAAAGCCATTCTGTTCAGTGTGTAACATGATTCATGCCTAGTTAATGCTATGCATATTAATCCAATTGCATTCAAAGTTGATTAATTTGAGAAAAAGTTACTTCTCAAAATTTTTGTTCAAATTATAGAGAGTTCACAATAATTTTTTACTAAAGACTTTTTTCTAGTTCCATTGACAAATGCAGCAGTGAGTCATTCATTCGGTACATTTAATAGAGTTTCATTGGGATATAATTTATGAACAGTACCATTGTTTTTTGCTGGTCAAGGTTGAGCATTGGGCTTTACATGTCCTAAGCATATGCTCAGCACTTGCTCTACCACTGGGGTACATTCCAGCTTCAATTTAGCCTTTGGCAGACAGGTTTTGGGGTATTCAATTGTGAATTTTTTTCTTTCTTGAGACAGTGCCTTGTTATGTCATTCAAGCTGGCTTCAATTTCTTGATCATACTTCTTAATTTTCTGTGTGCTAGATTTATAAGTGGGTGTTACCTGACTTTAATTTTAAGCTGTGATGTGTGTGTGTGTGTGTGCACGTGTGTGCAAATGTGTATGTTCACATGTATGTAAAGCTTTGCCATTGTAACAGTGTATTTTTACATTCACAATGTTGTACATCTGTCACAATTTCTAAAACTTTCTCAATATACTGAATAGAAAGTCTGTGACCGTTAAGGAGTAATTTCCCCACTCACCTTTTCTGCTTCTGAATTTACATATGTCATACAATGCAGTTCTTGTTTGTCTGTCTTAGTTCACTAGCATAACATTTTCAAAGCTTATGTTTCAGAATTTTGTTTTTTTTTTAATACTATTTCACTGTATAATTGTTTCTTAGTCATATGTCAGGAGACACTGGTTAGTTATATGTTTGACTGTCATGAACCATGTTGGAATGAACAGTAGTTGATTCTGTAATAGCTGTGCAAGTATCTGTTGGAGTTTCTGCTTTGATTTTGGAGGCATATGTATTTACCCTCCCTCCTCCAAAGCAGAATTGCTGGGTCATTGTCATCTGATTGTTCTTTTAAAGAAATGTACTGCACGTATGTATGTGGTGGGTGTGCATGTACCATGACATGTGTATATATGTCAAAGGACAACTTGTGAGAAACTGTTTTGTTCTAATATCATATGAGTCCCAAGAATTGAATGCAGGCCATTAGATTTGGTGGCAGGTGCCATTACCCACTGAGTCATCTTACTAGAAATCTTTGTTTACTTTTTAAGGAATTACCAAACTTTCCCCACAGTATCTGTACCATTCTGTTTTATTAACTTTTTCATTACATTTTATTCATTTCGAGGGTATGGGTGTGCCACTGTGCAAGTATGAAAGTCAGAGGACTTACATACAGGAGTTACTTCTTTCCTTCTATTGTGTGGATCCTGCAGCTTGAACTCAGGTTGTCAGGCTTGGGAGCAAATACCTTTACCTACCTGCTGGATCATCTTGCTGGTTTCCATTTTATGTTTTTGCTGGCAATGTATGAACTTTCCATTTTCTCACCACTTCTTTTCTTTTTTTCCTGTCATGCTGTTTCTCCTCCCTCTCTCTTTCTCTCTCATCGTGTGTGTTCAAGCCTACAGCCTCATGCATAGCAGACAAATGGCTGTTCTCTGACTTGTGCTCCAGTCTCTGCCCACCCTTCCTTACAGCTGTTCTAGTGGGTATGAAGACGTGTTCACTGTGCTTTTGATTTGCATATCTCTAATTGTTAGTAATGGTCAACATTTGACCTGACTTGTCTAATAGATTATATCTGTGAAGGTCAGGAGAGAGGGCAATACAGTTTTAAAAAAGATTTGTAGGTTTTTAGATTAAGCGGCTGTGCATGTAGGTATAACAGTAAAAAATACAGAGAAGACGGATTTGGAGATAAGTCAAATGACTTCTTTTGGGTTCATGTTAAGTTGGAGATACCTGCAAAGTACTTCAAGCCAAGGATGAGACTAGATAATATGTACACTAGAAGATAAGAAGACCAAAAAACAGCCCTGGCTTGTTCCCAGCACTCAGAGACCAGATTCAGAAGGTGTCATCCGTTGACTGATTTTCCCCCATTTTGTTTGTTCTAGAGTGTAGTGTGAGAACACTGAATCGAGTTCTGCATGATGAAATTCTTAATAAGCCCATGGAAACACTTAAGCTTGCTATTCCATCAGGGATATATACTCTTCAGAATAATTTACTCTATGTGGCACTGTCAAACCTAGATGCAGCCACTTATCAGGTACTTAAGATATATTTCTAATCACCCATTTACAAAACACACAAAAAATCCAAACATTAATAATACTGCTGTTTTCTTTTTTAGGTTACATATCAGTTGAAAATACTTACAACAGCGTTATTTTCTGTGTCTATGCTTGGTAAAAAATTAGGTGTGTACCAGTGGCTCTCCCTAATAATTCTGATGGCAGGAGTTGCTTTTGTGCAGGTAACTATTCAAGATAAGTATGTTTTTCATTTCTGTCACAGTTTGAAAACCTGATTTGCATGGAGACTATGGTTCCATTACTTGTTCAAGCAAGTAAATACTGACAGTTTTTATGGTTCCCTGTAAGTAAATACTGCATTGAGCATGTGTGATATAAACATATGAATGAATTTTTCATAGTAAAGGACTGAAGAGTTGGGTTGTGGTATAGCTTACTGGCAGGGGCCTTGCTTTGGTCCTCAGTACCACACACAGAGTTATGTGTTGTAGCCCTGGCTGGCCTGGGTCTGTCCTCAAACTCTGGTCACTCTCCTGACTGCCTTCTGAGTGCTGCGATTATAGGCATGTGCCACCATGCCTGGCCTGACTTTTTTTTTCAATGTATTTGTATATGTCTATGAGTGTATGCATATATGTGTAGAGGCCAGAAGAGAGGGCATTGGGTGCCCTTTATCACTCTCTACCAGTTCTTTTAAGGCAGAGCCTCCTCCTGAACCTTTTCATATGTAGAGAAGCCAGCAAGCCCCAGTGAGCTTCCTATTTCTGCCTTCTTCTGGGCTGTTTACAGGTATGCTTAGGCTACACAGCCTGTTATGTGGGTTTTCAGACGCAAATTGTGGTCCTTGTTATTGCACAGCACACACTCTTAACTGCTGAGCTAGATCTAAAGATATGTGTCTCCATTTTTAGATGGAAGGCAGAATGTGTCAGACCCCCTGGAACTGGAGTTACAAATAGTTGTGAGCTAAAATGTGGATACCAAGAACCAAGCCCAAATCCTTTGCAAGAGCAACAAATGCTCTTAATGGAACAATCTAAGAAATTAAGACATGGTACAATGAAACTGTCTCAAAACCAAAACAAAACAAAAGACAATATAAAAAAGAAAGAAGCTAAAAATTTTATGAGAATGTGGTAGAACCTCTGAGATGATTTGTGATCCTCTAATCCCTTACTATCTTTATTGATACTGTGTTTTCTAGCTCTCAGAGCTTTCTAATGATTGCTTATCCTTATTCTTCATGGAGTCGTTGTCCCTAACTTTTGCATTCTTTTTTATTTTGTGTATGTTTATTCGTATGGCGTGTATGTGTGTGTGTGTGTGTGTGTGTGTGTGTGTGTGTTTGGTAGCCACATAAGATAGAGGCTACACTAATAGTAGAGACCTAGAATATTTCTATCCTCACAGAAAGCATACTGGGGAGTTACATAGGAGAGGGCCAAGGAGAAAGGGGACAGTTGTAAGAGTCAAGGAATTAGTCCCCACTATCATGTTGTTGCAGTAAAGGCAAGCTGAATAGGAAGTGAATCTTTCATTGTTGAAGATGTTTAAGGGGGCTGGAGGGATGGCTCAGTAGTTAAGAATACTGACCGTTCTTCCATAGGACCCGGGTTCCGTTCCCAGCAGTCACATGGTGGTTCACAAATGTCTGTGACTGTAGTTCCAGGGGTCCCACCACTCTTACACAGTTTTACACACAGGCAAAAACGCAAATGCACATAAAAATGAAAATAAGTAATTTTTGAGACAGTGTTTAAACCTGTATGGTGGCACATGCCTACAATCCTTTCACTTAGGAGGCTGAGGCAGGAGGATTGCTGTGAGTTAAAGCTAGCCTGGACTATGTTAGTCTACTCCTCCACCCCCACTCCCAAACACCTATTAATATTGAAAAGTTTCCAGTAACTATGAAAATTATTATTTTAACACTACTGGACATAAAGAGATTGAAATTCAAATGTAATAAGTTTATGACTTTAATGCCTCTCATCAATAGGTAGATAATTAACAAAAGTAATCAACAGACTTGAGAATTAAACCATACAATAGACCAAACATACTTGTCTGATAGAGATCCAGAATATTCTGTCTAAAGGTAAGGAATACAGATTCTTAGATATGGAATCTTCTCTAAAATTGATCATATTTTAGGTCCAAAAACAAATGTGAAAGACAAAGAATAAATTAAATAAAACCTCTTCCAGCCCCCCCCAATCAAAAACACACCTGTGGGGAGAATTATTAATATGTGGGTAATATGAGTGAGAAATATTTCAATTACTACTGTATAGAAACTTATAAAGTTTATGTGGAATCACAAAAGACCATGTATAGCCAAATCAGCCCTAAGTAAAAGTAGCAATACTAGTCATGCTTATAATCTTAGCACTTAGTACTCTGAGACAGGAGAATTGCCATGAGTTTGAGGCCATCTTGGGGTACCTCATGAATTCTAGGCTAATGTAGGATACAGTGTGAGATCCTGCCTCTACCTGCCCTTCACCCCATCCACAAAGCAATGTGGGCGGTATCATAGTACCTGATTTCATATTATGCTTTAGAGTTGTGATAATAAAAACAGCATGGTACTGGCACAAAAATAGACTTGTAGGCGAATGGATGAGAAGAGAGGTATCAGAAAGAAACTCATGCAACTATAGCTATAGCTACTTGATTTTTAACAAAGGTTATAAAGCATACATTGGAGCCCCTTCAACAGATGGTGCTCACAAACTATGTACATGCATCCACAGTACACAACTAAGACTAGCCCACTCTGTCTCACCCAGTACTGAACTCTGCTCCTAACCTAAACCTTGAACCCTTAGAGACTCTAAAAGGGAACAGGGACAGTACTTAAGAGATAGCTAATGGCATGAACCAGGAAACAGTAGCAAGAATTGACAAATGTGATTACATGAAATGTAAAAGCTGCTTGACAAAGAAAACAACAGATGGAAGAGACTCCTTTAGAGGAGGAACAGGTGTTTACTAGTTCATAAGACAGGATTAATGTCCAATTATATAAAAAAAAATCAATAACCAACCAAAAGTCCCAAACCTATCACCAATCAGGCAAATGAGCATAGCAGATAGTTCTCAAAAGAAGAAATACAAATAGATAATAAATGGACCTAAAATGTTCAGCATCTTTTTTGTTTTGTTTTAAGGCAGGGTTTCTTTATATAGTCTTGGCTATCGTGGAATCACTTTGTAGACCAGGCTGGCCTTGAACTCACAGAGATCCAAAGCCTTGCCTCCTGAGTGCTGGGATTAAAAGCACACTACCACTTAGCTATGTTCAGCATCTTTAGCTGTTAGGGAAATGTAAATCAAAACTATGCTGAGATTCTATTTCACCCTAGTAAGAGTGGCTATTATCAGGAAAACAAACAGCAAATGTTGGTGGGAATGGTGTGGAAATCAATGTTGGTACACCTTTGGTTGGGCTATAATTGTGAGCAGCCAGTTAGAAAATAGTATGGAGATTCCTCCATGGGAAGATACTAATTTTACCTGTGTAGAAGTTAAAGAACAGCTTGATGGAGTCACTTCTCTCCTTCACCTTTATGAAGGGTACAGAGATTGAACTCTGGTTGTCAGGCTTGCACAGTGAGCACTTTCCCTACCGAACCGTCTTACTCCATTACTAAAAATACTACCATATGGTCTAGCTATACCATTTCAAAGTAGACGCTTGAACACACTACTGAGATACTAATTTGTTTTGCAGGGTTGTTCACAATAGTTATGGAATCAGCCTAGATGTTCATCATTGTGTGAATGGATAATGTAAATATGGTATATATACACAATGAAGTTTTATTTATCCATAAAGATGGAAATTATCCATAAAGATGGAACTAGAGGCCATTGTGTTAAGCAAATTAGAGTAGACTCAAACAAATAATATATTTTTGAATTTGAAAAATCTAGATTAAGGGCTGTGCTTGGTGGTGCACACCTATAATTCCAGTATTAGAGAGGCAGTGGCAGGTGGATCCCTGAGTTTGAGGCCAGCATGGTCGACAGAGTGAGTTCCAGTACACTCAGGATACATAGAGAAACCCAGTCATGAAAGAGAGAGAGAGAGAGAGAGAGAGAGAGAGAGAGAGAGAGAGAGAGAGAGAGAGAGAGAGAAATCTAGATTTCAGAAAACTGATATGAAAATAGAAAGGGGCTAGTTTGAAAAAGGAGACCAGTGGGGACTCACCCACAATGGGTAACAATAGTTAGAAGGTATCAGTTGATACACCATGGTCAGTAATATACAAATCATATGGGTACAGTAACATTACAGTCTTTCATTTTCTGTTTTTTAGATCTATTATGCATACAGTGTTCTGTCTGCAGGCCAGAAGAGGGAACCAGATCTCACTGTAGATGGTTGTGAGCCACCATGTGGTTGCTGGAAATTAAACTCAGTACCTCTGGAAGAGCAGCCAGTGCTCTAACCTTTGAGCTATCTCTCCAGCCTCCAGTCTTTCATTTTCTGATGGACTATTTTCCTTGCAGTGTTTGTGGTTCCCTTCCCACAAGCTCCTCTTTCTACTATGCTTGATTTAGCTTATCCTTCTTCCATATATGTGCTTTTGCTGGAACAGCACCATGCTATGCTTGTGGAGGTCATGGGACAGCTTGTGAGAGTTGGTTCTCTCCATCCACCATGTGTATCCCGAGGATCAGACTCAGGTTGTCAGTCTTGGCTGCAAGTGTCCCTACACACTGAGCCATGTCAATGCCCTCTTCAGTATTGTTTTTATTTTTATCCAGTGGCCTTCAGATTCTCAAGAGCTGCATGCTAAGGAACTTTCAACTGGCTCACAGTTTGTAGGCCTCATGGCAGTTCTCACAGCATGTTTTTCAAGTGGCTTTGCTGGAGTTTATTTTGAGAAAATCTTAAAAGAAACAAAACAATCAGTATGGATAAGAAACATTCAACTTGGTAAGTTTTAAAGGCTTTATAATATGTATTTTTTTATTAATTAAATTTTTTCCCTTTTATTTTACATACCGCCCAATTTCTTCTTCCTCCTCTCCTGTTCCCTTCCCCTGCCTCCCATCTACCCCCCCCCCCCAAGCATGGCACATTAAGTTGCTGCAGGACCAATCTTCCCTCCCTCCCCCCAGGCACATCAAGACTGGATGAGGCAACCCAGAACTGGGAATAAGTTTCCAAAAGCTAGTTCAAGTGCCAGGGACAGGTCCTCATCCCACTGCTGGGAGCCTGACAAACAGACCAAGCTATACAACTGTCATACACATGTAGAGGACCTAGGTTGGTCCCATACAGGCTCCCTAACTGTTGGTTCAGAGTCCATCAGCTCCCATGAGTTCAGGTCAGCTGTCTTCATGGGTTCCTCAGTCATGATCTTGATCCCCCTGGCTCATACAGTTCCTCTTCCCTCACTTCAACAGGACTCCTGGAGCTTGGCCCTGTGCTTGGCTGTGGATCTCTGCATGTGCTTCCATTAGTTATTGGATGAAGGCTGTATGATGACTGTTAGGGTAGTCACCAATCTGATTACAAGAGAAGGCCAGTTCATTCACCCTCTCCATTATTGATAGGAGTCTTAGCTGGGGTCATCTCTGTGGATTCCTGGGAGTTTCCTTGGCACCAGGCTTCTCTCTAACCCTGAAATGCCACCCCCAATCAAGACATCTCTTTAATTACTCTACCCCATTGTCTCAACCTGATCCCCCAAGTTCCTGTACAGCCCCCCCCCCATCCCCCCACCTTACTCCCGGTTTACCCAGGAGGTCTCTTCTATTTCCCATTTTCTTTTTTCTTTTTTTCAAGACAGCGTTTCGCCCTGTAGCATGGGCTGTCCTGGAACTTGCTCTATAGACTAGGCTGGCCTCTAAGTCACAGAGTTCAGCCTGCCTCTGCTTCCTGAGTTCTGGGATTGCAGGTGTGTGCCACCACTGCCTGACTGAGTGAAATATTTTTAAAGTATTCAAATTTCATTAAAAAGAAATAACTTAAGTTGTGCAGGCCCCTAGCCCCAGTACTTGGGAGACTGAGGCAAGAGGAACAAGAGTTCTAGCCCATCTCATGCTACATGCTGAGTTGCAGGGTAGCCTCCAGTGCAAACCAAGACCCTGCCAATTGGAGCAGGGTGGGGAGACAGGACTGTCAACAAAAATTTCTCAGAAAACTGTCCTAAAACCTATGTTTTACTTTCTTTTAGGTTTCTTTGGAAGTATATTTGGATTAATGGGTGTATATGTTTATGATGGAGAATTGGTATCAAAGAATGGATTTTTTCAGGGATATAATCAACTGACATGGATAGTTGTTGTTCTACAGGTAAAGCATATGCCTTTTATTTAATGCCTCTGAATATTGCTTCAGTACAGAGAATTAAAGTGGCTAGTGGTGTGCTGGTTTTTAAGGGGTAGGGTCCTTCCTATTTTCATCATATCTATTTTACTCAGGAAGTTAGAATATAGCTTTTCTTAATGTTCAATGAAAACTGACTTTGAAAGGGGGTCATGAACAAAACTCCATAGTATTTCAGTTCAATGCTTATGAAAATGCCAGTGTTTAATTATTGTTGTTGTTACTTTTAGATTTATTTTCTTTTATGTATATTAGTGTTTTGTCTGCATGTATATATGTTCACCAAATATATGCTTGGTGCCCATATTAGTTAGAAGAGGGGTCAGATCCCCTGGAACTGGAGTTACAGATGGTTGTATGCCACTAAAGTGAGTGCTGGTAAGCAAACTGAGATACTTTGGAAGAGCAGCCACTGCTCTTAATCAATGAATCATCTTTCAAGCTCCATGAAAATATAAGTTTAAGAATTAAATAGTTACATGACATAGTGACGTGCACCTTTAATCCCAGCACTCTGGAGGCAGAGGCAAATGGGTCTTTGTGAGTTCAAGGCCAGCCTGGTCTACATAGCAAACTCCAAGACCACCAGGATTACATAGATACCCTGTCTCAAAACAAACAAACAAACAAACAAACAAGCAAATAAAACTTAATAGTCAAAACTAAGAGTAAACTTTCACTTTTTCTGTTGAAATTATCATTGCATAGAAAAGCCATGGCCAGCCCTTTAAAGAGGGGAGGAGCCCATAGAGATAATTATGCAAGGTTTTAACTTATTTCATATTTACATGTTAGAACGTTTCAAATTTTTTCAGTGTGAATATGGTTTTAATTATTTAAAAGTTGAATAATTTCATCTCCAAAAGCACATTTTGACATTCTGGAAAATATAAAAATTAAGGAAGAAGTGATTTTTCTTAATGCCTATGTTCATAGAGGTATTTGAAGTCATAGGAAAGTAGGAAAGTGTGAAGGGATAGTGGTGCTTCAAAAGTAGGAAGGTGGGTGACACATACCTTTAATCCTAGTACTTGGGAAGGCAGAGGCAGGCAGGTGGATCTCTGAGTTCAAGGCCAGCCTGATCTAGAATTTCAGGATAGCCAGGGCTACACAGAGAAACCCAGTCTCTAAAAAATGTAGGAAGGCTACTTCCATTTTTATAAAAGGAGAAAAGGACACAGAGGAGAAATTTAGAGAAAATTTAAAGTGAAGGTACAGTAACATAGAGAACTGATGTGATTATGTTTTATATAGTTACGAGAAAACTGCCTTTAAGATAGAGCTAAAAGAGTTGAAAAATATTTAACTTTAAAAAAAATATATTTAGTTTTGTTTTTTGAGACAAGGTCTCTACAAAGCTGTGGCTGGAACTCACTCTGAGACCAAGCTGGCCTCAAAGTCAGAGATCTTCCTACCTCTACCTCCTGAGTGTGTGCCACCACTGCCTATTCAAGGGCAACATTAAAAAAAAAAAAAAAAAAAAAAAGTTGGTATAACCAGTATGAAGGATCCAACAGGGATAAATAGATGAATAACAGTATTTCCCCAAAATATGGAATCAGACATAATTTCTAGTAAAACTAATGGCTTTTGTAAATTAGACTTCCATCATTAAAGAAAGGCAGTTAGAGTGGGTCCCCTGATTTGGAAGCAGATGTTTAGGATCTGGTAGAAGACAAAACAGGCCAGACAAATTAAGTGTCCATTATCTGTTTGCAAAATGTTTTGGGTTTTAATGAAGGGTGGGAGATTTGGGGCTTTTGTATATACATAATGAGATATCTTGTGATTGTGACTCATGTCTAAACAAAATTTTGCTTTCTGTGTGTACCTGCACATAGCCTGGAAGTAATATTAATACAGTTTAGAGTGCATGGCATTGTATGAGTGACTCATCAAATGAGGCAGGTGTAGACTTTTTCATCTATGTGTGCTTCATGTCAGTGCTCAAAGAAGTGCTGGGTTTTGGAACATTTTGGATGTTTTCAGGATTTTGGATTTTTGTATAGCAAAGCCCAATGTGTGCGTGTGTTGCTTGGCTTGAAACTAGTGTCTTCACACCTACTCGGCAAGTACTTTACTACAGAGCTACCTACCCATCACTCATTACATTTGGTTGTTTTGGGGTTTTTACTTATTTAATTTTATGTGTATATGTGTGTGCCTGAGTGTATATGTGTGCACTGTGTACATGCAATGCCTGCAGAAGTTAGAAGAGGCATCAGAACCCTGGAACTGAAGTTACAGATGGTTGTGAGCTGTTTGACATGGGTGCTGGGAACTAAACCCAGGTCTTCTACAAGAGCAACAGGCACCATCATCAACTCAGCTGTCTGTCCAGCTTCCCCCACCTCCCATTTGTAAGTAGCCACTACCTAGAATTTGAGAATGATTTGGTAGGAGGTTCTTTCTATGCTGTGGAGATAGCTCAGTGGTAGAGAACTTATCTACTGTGCAGTAGGTTTGGTGTTGAGTGTATAGTGCTGCAAAAAAAAAAAAAAAACCAAAAAACAAACAAACAAACAAAAAAAAACACAAACCATGCACCCTGACAGCCAGAAGAGGTAGATTAGAATGGAGAGAAGAGAAAATTAAAGAAGACAAAGGGAGAAGACTGTTGGAAAAGTAGTGTAAAAAAAAAAAGTTTTTTATTTAAACTTAAATCTTATATGTATTTGTCCTTAAGCTGTCCAAACATGTGCTTAATTATTGAATTGGTGAAAATACACTTTTTGCAACGTGATCAATTTCTATCACAGTAAACTGTAGATTGCTTTGATGATCATGTTGATGGCTATGAGACGAAACTGGAAGTGTATTGTTTTCTGTTCATATGAATCATTTGCTAAATAAAATCGTTTGGAAAAGCAATCTTATGTTCATTTAAAAAACACTCTCTTACAACTTTTATAGGCGCTTGGAGGACTTGTAATAGCTGCTGTCATTAAGTATGCAGACAATATTTTAAAAGGATTTGCCACCTCCTTATCCATAATATTGTCAACAGTTATATCCTATTTTTGGTTGCAAGATTTTGTGCCAACCAGGTAAATATTCCTTTCTATTTACTTTTCCTTCTTGTTCTTACTTTTTCCTTTATGTCTTATTTTGTTGTTAGTATTACCATGATTCCATTTAGGTCTGCTTATTCATTTCCAAAAATTTATTAAATGGCCACCGTGTACTTGCAGTCACTCTTGAATTCTGCAAAAATGAAACATGTTATGTTCAAGAATGTCACAGTGACTAGAAAACCAGACACGAGAAATTATGACATGAGTATCAATGAAAGTGTGTGTATGTGTGTGTATACATACATACATACACACATACATATATATATATATAATTAAAGAGGGCTTGAATCATTGAAATAATCAGAGTATGATACATTTTCTGTTCATAATCAATGAAGAGTACATAAGTGAGCAGAGTAACAAATATGAAAATAATGTACTCATTAATCACAATGTGATAAATAGCTCACTCTTGGGGAGTGAGTGTGTCTTGGACAGTAGACCTGAATCATTATCAATAAACTCTTGTTGAGAGAAAGGGAATTGTGGTTGAGGACTAGTGTCTACCATAACATCATGGAAAAGTACATGGAGTCAAGTTAAGAGTGTAGAGGATGATTTTGGATGGACCACACTGCCACATCTTTAGCTCCAGCAGGAGCTTTGAGACTAGCTTGCCTACATAGTGGAACCCCATAACAAATACACCAAAGCCGAACCTCTGTTTTTATAGGAAGGGTAAAGAAGGGTGGTGATTCCTGTCCTTTTTTTAGGTTGAGGGTAATGACTTCAAATCATTAATAGAAACTTTAAAGCCAAGACTAATCCATTCCTCTGGTACCATTTTAAAAATACGTATTAAATTATGATTGCTAGTCTGGGTTATATCCAGTTTCTATTATGTAGATTGTATCTCTACATACATCAAACCAAGAGGAAACTATGTGATCTGATTCCCTTCTGTTAAACATCTTGTAAATATTGGGCCTGAGCTTTGGTTATTATTTCCTTGGAGTTTGGACTGGATTCACCTAAGTTTAGCATAAGAGGATGAAGGATGAACTTCTCCTTTTTTTTTTTGGTTTGTTTTCTGGTTTTTTTGAGACAGGGTTTGTCTGTATTGTTGTGGAGCCTGTCCTGGAACTAGCTTTGTCGACCAGGCTGGCCTCGAACTCACAGAGATCCACCTGCCTCTGCCTCTGCCTCCCCAGTGCTGGGATTAAAGGCGAGCTCCACCAAGGCTTTTCCGTTTTTTAAAGCTCCAGGGATTTTATTACTGAATGAATCCCTTACAGAACACACTTTCAGGTGAGAGAACCACCCTTGAGAACAGTGCAGTAGTTGAGAGTGGAAGCTCAATGCCAGTGACTGAACCTACCTCCTAGTTTTAAAGTCCCCAAACCCTTTCCCCAAAGGTGAAAGCGTTTAGCCAAGCACCTGGAACATAGAATGTACTCCACGTTTATTACTGTTACTGGAATGTTTCTTTCCCAAATTGCATTTGTTTTGTATTACATATGTAGAAAGCACTTAATTTGCTTTTAATCTGACTTTTTCTTTTTTTTTCTTTTTTCTTCATCCAATTTAGCGTCTTTTTCCTTGGAGCCATCCTTGTAATAGCAGCTACTTTCTTATACGGTTATGATCCCAAACCTTCAGGAAATCCCATTAAAGCGTAGTCATGTACTATCTTTAACTGGTTTTTCACGATGGTGCCCTGGGAATCTCAACATTAATCTTCCACAAAGGATTTCTGCAGATTCTGTGAAGATATCATCATGCTAAATCTGGTCATACTGTTCAAATGATTTGAAAATGTGTAGGCTTCAGGATGAAACGTGTACAGCATCTGGTAACTCAAGCTTGGAAGTATGTCCAGGGAGTAGGGTTAGAGGATCCAGGTAGGAGGTCTGAAGTCTGAGATCATAACAACTTCACCCTTTTGGTTGCTGCAGAACTTTGGTTGTGCAGCCTTTGTGAGAGCACACAAACCCAAATGCCAATGTTTGCAAGGCAGATCTCCTTATTCTTATCACATGTTCTTAACCTTACTCTTTCTGTATAGATATATCAAATTACATGGACTGTTTGAAGTTGGAAGATTATAATTGCCATAATAAGCTGTGAACAAACAAATATAATATAAAACCATTTTCATGTATCTGGGATTTTTATATTCATACAGAAGATTGCTAAGCAAAGGATTGCTAAATTTTATTTGTTTAGTTACATAAAGCTTGATGAAGTAGTCTGGGTTTGATTCATATTTAAATTTAGTGTAGAGAGAATCTATTTCTTTATGTATAGCTTTAGACCATTTACTGCTTTGAGACAGCTGAATGCAGTTAGGTTCTTCATATACTAGAGGAGCCAGTGACTTTGACACTAATGAAGTTTTACCCATCATTTTCCAGTTGTATTTCATATATATATATGTATACATTATACATATATATATATATGAAATTCTTATTACCTTAAATTGAATTTGTGTGTTTCCATTAAAACTTTTTAATTAATTTAAAGGGACTAAGTACTCATTTAATAATTGAAAATAAAATAATGATTACTGTCTAATCTCCATGTGGAAAACTCTCTATGAAGCATATACTATATATAGTTTTGAAATGGAGAATTTTGTTGTTCTGCAGTAGAATTTTTTTAAATCTCCAATCTCCAACTGTTGACAGAAGCAACAATCAAAAAAAAAAAAAAAAAATAGTACTAGTCATATCAGTGGACCAAGAACAAGCTGACTTTCTTACAGACATTCCCTACTATCGTATTACTTTTTTGTTGTTGTTGTTTTTTGTTTTAAGGTAAGGTTTCATTATGTAGACCAGGCTGGCCTCAAACTCAGAGATCTATCAGTCTCTGCCTCCTGAGTGCTGGGATTAAGGGTATGGGTCACCCTGCTCAGCTTACTACATTTTTAGTAGCACTATACTTTAAGCTCAAAGGCTGTTTAGAAGATTTTAGGTCTTAAAAGCCCATTTCCCTGGCAATACTCTGATCATGTTTCTGGAAGAGGTGGTAGCATTCTGGATTCCCTTTCTGTGTCCCTGTGAGTGCTGCTGGAAAGGAGCAACCATTTGCTTTAAAATAGTAGATTTTGTTTCTTTTAACACTGGTGTTGAGGCTACAAATTATGAGTTATTTAATAAGTTGATTCAAAAGAGAGAATATATTAGAAATAGTAAAATTAAACGGGAAGCAAAATGCATTCTATATTTGGAATATAATTTATTTAATTATTGACTATATGCAGAATTACCTATTGAATATAAGATATATTTTACTTTATTTTTTCATTTATATTGTATATATTTTAAAAGTTTGTTGTAATAGATACAAACCTATAAGAAGATGACTATTTTTTAGGTAGTTCTAATAGATTTTTGTTAAATGGAGTTAGACTCAAAAGTAGTACTATTAAGAAGTGGAAGGTAGGTGCCCTTGGCTAACTTGGACTGGCTCTTTGATCTTGTTAGTGCACATTAACCAAGTCCATTCATTATCAAAGTACTTAAATTACAGAGTGTTTAAAGCTATTGTACCAGCGATGGCAGAATGATACCAGGTTTTCTGAATGCCAGGCTTATGGTTTTCAGTGATTGAATAACTCCATTTGGAGCTTGGTGGGTGTTAGGCCACCATAACATTCAAGCTATGTCCAGGACCTACAACTAAGTGTAACCTAGATCTTACAAATGTACAAAATTCATGAATACAGATTCATGTTCGGCTCACATAAGTATTGTGTGGGCAACTGTGCTAATACCGTGTGGATTCACAGTTAATGGTTACTTAGATCTATCTACTCCTGTCTTGACCCCACAGAAATATATACAAATAAGTTTTTGGATATTAAGGTTGTTAAAATAATAACACATTTCAGGTGTCTGAAAATCTTTCATTAGGTGTCATTTATATTTTTCTTTCCTAGTCAGTTAAAAATGTTATTGGGTTGAATGTATAATTTAAGAATTTATAAAGAGATAATCACATTTCGGAGGAAAATGGGCTTGTATCCTAGATTGTGTGAATTTTTATGTAATATGCATTGTGTTTTGATGATGTTCAGTAGTGTGATTTTGTCATGCTTTTATAACGCTTGGATTATTTAAATTTGATGCTTTTAAAAGTGTACCTGTTATTTCTCAGCTATTTTCACTAGTATGGAATGTGTGAATTCATGGAGGAAGAATACCAGTGAGACCTGCATTAAAGTGGCAAAAAGCTTGATGCACCAGCAGGCCCAACAGTGCAGCATAGTACCTCTGTGCTCAATGCTCTTCAAGCTGGAGTCACTTTTATAATAGATTATGTAGTTTAAAAATGCATACCTTAATGTTTACATCAGTTTCTATGGAATGACACAGAATTTCATATAATGAAGAGACAGTTGGATATTTAAACTAGAGTCTATTAGGAAATTCTTAAAGGAAATTAATTGACATTCTGCTCTGAACATTTAAGTAGAATGCTTACTATTTTTACAAATCATGTTAGTAGACTTTAAATTTCGTATAATGACATTTGACTGAGGTGTTTCCTTTCCCTTTGTGTTTGAGGCAGGGTCTTACTTTGTAGCCATGGCTGGCCTGGAACTTGCTATGTAGCCCAGGCTGGCCAGCAAATCACAAAGATCTGCCTGCCTCTGCCTTCCAAGTGCTGGGATTTAAGATGTGTGCTACCACTACTACCATTTGAATTTTGGTTTTTTTGTTTTTAAAGAAAGGCTTTGGCATCACACATTCTATTTAAACATTTATTATAAAAATATTTGACTTCTATCTTTACATTGAATTTATAAAAAGTATTTATGTTGTATTGAAAGTCATCTTAAGAATCTCCAAGATACTTAAAGTTATAGGGCCAAAGAAAATGTACCTTTACCACAATCTGGTCCTATGTGCCTTGATTACCAAATAAATACCTGACTTTTATGGAGATCATTTCCATAATTTACAACTTTAGATACATACTTGAAATTAGGATTTTTTTTTTTTTTTTAAGAATTACGGAATAACTATAATTGTAGCTTTTGGTTGTTTCAACTTTTGCTCTTTAAATCCATGATCTAGCAAACTGATACTAAGTATCCTCTCAAAGTATCTGTGAATAGCACTTGTTTAAGTGACTTGTGACACCTGCACCATGATTCAGGTTTGATACTTTAACAACTGTATATACATGTCTGTCTGTTGTTCTTTTCTTGTAAGACATAATTTGCTGTGATTTAAAACAATATTTTAAAAATGACTTTGACCCTAAATTGATCTATGTCTGTACTTCATTTACGTAAAGTGATTCTTTGGGGTTTAGGAATGTGATTTGTATCTTAAATTTTTTACAAATGTATTTCAAAGGAATGTGTAATGTGGTCTTCTATTAAGTGGCTTTTTAAGTGATAAATTCCTCATGTCATTTTCTTTTCTTCTTTTTTTTGTTTCCATTATTACATATATTTATTAGATAAGGGAAATAGATTATTTTCATAAATAACTGTATTCTCATATTTCTGCTTTCCCTTTTTATCTGTGTCTGATTTAATTTGTGGATTAGTTTCTTATTTTTCTATTTCAGGAATGACTTGTTCATCTTCATCCCTTGGTAACTTGGTATCAAATGTAATTCTGCTTTCTTTTCTTTGTTTTGCCAAAGTGGTTAGAATTTTTCTGCCTTTATAATGATCACAACCTAAATGATTTTGTTTGAAATAAAATACTTCTTTGCTGCCGGCCAGGTTCAGTAGTTACTCAGGACCTTTCCTTCACTGTGTGATGGATTCTGTTGTGGCATCCACATTTATCCCCACTTCTACTCTGATATAGCCAGCCACACATGGAATACTTCAAGAGCCCAGAAGGGACAAAATCTCAGCATTTTACAAAGGTATTTTTGCTAAGTTCTCATAAAAAGCACTAACTGAAACTCCAATGTTATTTTTTGTGTTAGTGTTTCTTTTAAGACTGGAGAAATAGCTAAATGCTTAAGAGTACTTGCTGCTCTCCCAGAGGACCCAATTTTCGTTCCCAGCACCCATATTAGGAGGCTCACAGCCATCTATAACTCCAGCTCCACGGGTTTGTGGACCTCTGTTCTCCACTAACTCTTGTACTCATGTGCATATGCCTACATGCAGACACATACCTACACATAATTTAAAATAAAACCAGGCAGAAGGCACATGCCTTTGTTCTCAGGGCTTTGGAGGCAGAGGCAGGTGGATCTCTGTGAATTTGAGGGTAGCCTACATAGTGAGATCCTATCAAATAAGTAACTAAATAAAAACAAAGGAATAAATAAATAAAAATAGTTTGCCAGGCATGGTAGCATGCAGATGCAGGCAGTTGTCTTAAAGTTGAGGCCATGATGGTCCATATAGGGAGTTACAGCATATACAGTGCAGCCCTGTAATCCAATCATTCTGGAGACTGAGGTTGTGTGGGCTACAGCAAGTCTGAGGGTCATCCTGCCTCTCAAAGTAGACCCCTGTCTCATCCATCTCCCTCCTTGTTTCTCTTTTTCTTTTCCTCCCTTCTTCCTTTTTACTTTCTTTTTAATTATGTCTTTGAGAGTTTCATTTCCCATTTAACTATGTTATTTGTTTCCATTTTCCCTATCAGTTAAATTTGATTTTGTATTAAATATTTTGGTTTTATATGACATTTTCACTTCATTAGCTTTAATCGTGATGCAAGGGACTATGCCAGAGTAGATGTGAAAATTTTGTAGGCTATATCTGTGAACTCACAAAGATAATATTTTTGGTTTTTTTGTTTGTTTTATTTTTTTATTTTATTTTTGTAAGATTTATTATGTATACAGTGTTCTGCTTGAAGGCCAGAAGAGGAACCAGATCTCATTATGGATGGTTGCTGGGAATTGAACTCAGAACCTCTGGAACAGCAGCCAATGCTTTTAATCACTGAGCCATTTCTCCAGTCCCCAGAGATAGTATTTTTAAAGAACTCCTTTTGTTATTGATTTTGGTTTTGAGACAGTGTCTCATGGTCTAACCTGAGTTATCTTAAAGCTATGTAGCTAAGGGTTACTTCAAATGTTTGCTGCTGCCATAGCCTCCTGGGCAATGGTCTTTCCCCACCACACCTAGCAGAGCATTTAAAAGAATTTTTTAAATTACATTTTACTTTTTATATGCATGGAGAAAAAAAGTTAATGACTCATTAGTTTTTATTTGTGTCCATTTTTATAAATTTAAGTTTTTATTATTAAACATGTAAACCATTTTACCTGACTCAAGGTTAAAAATATATGAGTGAAAAATCATGTCTGTTCAACTCCATTCCCAAGCACCTTCTGTGGTGAATAATTTCCACAGTTTATAGTTGTTTCTTTCTGAAAGGTGAATATTTGTGTGTCACTATATTTACTGTGGTTCTATTCCTACGCAAACATGTTCTCTGTTCTTTAAGGCTTTCTTAAAAAAAAAAAAGACAGTTGTCCATTCTTTTAGTGATTAAATTGACACCCACCCAGTCACTTTGCTTCTGGAGTTTATTTTGTTGGTTACAGTAGTCTAAACTTCTACTTTATTTGTTCACATTGACTCTCACTGAATTGTCTATGTGCCTGAATTCAATGAACAGTCTCCCCACCCACCCCGTTCTATTCTGTCAGCTCTTTTTAGTTGTGGTGCTACTTTTTTCCAAGATAAGGCTTCTCTGTGTAATAGCCCAAGCTGTCCTAGAACTTGCTCTGTAGACCAGGCTGGCCTTGAACAGAGATCAGCATGCTTCTGCCTCCCTAGTGCTGGGTGGGATTAAAGGTATGTACTACCACCACCGCCCAGCTGTGTTAGTTTTATGTGATGGGATCATATAGACACACCTTTTCAACCCTACTCTAAAAAGAGCTGATAAGCACTATTGTTGATCCTCAAATAGCTTTGGACAACTGACCAGTAACTTTGATATAGCTGAAGTATGATTTTTGGAGGTTGTGAAAGTTGGAGTAACTATACAATAATTTTTTGTAGACCAGCTGTCATGTAGCCCATGGCTAGCCTTAACTTGCTATATTGGCCAGCCTGGAACTCAGGATCAGTCTGCCTCTGCATCATAAATGCCAGGACCCGGGGTATGCACCAATACACCTAATTTACAACAATAATCTCAGCCCTTTGTACCCATCCAAAATAAATTCCTGGAATTTAGTCCCACTCTCAACAGCTTCAAGTTAGACTTCAAAAAAGTTTCTATGTAAGAATTTTATTTTGAAAGTAAGTATGATAAAATCTTACTCATTTGGTCAAGATGTTTTCTTCTCCCACCATGAAGATTAGTTTGGTTTCTTTTTTTTTTTTTTTTTTTTTTTTTTTGTCAGCAGGGAAGTAGAAAGAACAGAACATCCAATCAAGTTTATTCTTTTTATGGAAAAGCTGCAGTAATGTAAACACTCAAATGGACCCTATACTTTCTCCTTTACCCTTTCTATTAGTTACTTACGGCCATGTAATAAACAGCCCCAGTTTGGTGGACTGAAACTTCTACCCCTCTCACCCATTTTTAAGACAGGGTCTCATGTATTCCAGGCTGGTCTCAGGTTTGTCCTTGACATTTTGATTCTTCTGCTTCGGCCTCCTGAGTACCAGGTTCCAGACATGCACTTCCATGCTGGGTTTATTCATTGTTGGGGATAAAGTTCGAAGCCCTGTGCTTGCAGGACTGGCACTCCAAAAGAACTATATTGCTGACTAAGCTGGGTGGTCCTAGCTGAAGGCCTCATAAAATTGTAGTCAGGCTGTCTGCAGTCAGCTCAAGGTTTGAGCAGGACTAAAGGATCTATTTCCAAGATCCACAAAACTTCACAGGAGATTTCAGCTCCTCAACAACTGTACCTCCATAGCTCCTCTAGTATCATGCCTTAGCAAGTGACACTCCTGACTTGGAGTGAATGAAAATCCTAGCAAAAACACCCAGTGCCTTTTATGACCTAACCTCTGAAGTCAGCACTGCCACTTCTGCCTTGATCTGTTAAAACAGAAGGGCATCACTAGCCAGGTCATAAGCCAGGAGAGAGGGAGCCTAATCCACTTCTTCCAGGGAGGAATATTGTATTTGTGAATGTATCTTAGAACCACCACATCCAGGTTCACCATTTGCACATTTTGCTTCGTCACCTGCTTCCCTTTATCGAACAGTTTGAGGGTAGATAGCATGCATTGTGCTCTTTCATGACCTAACACCGAAGGTATACTTGGGAATAAGGTTTTCAAAATTGCTACAATCAAAATTTTGCCAGGCACACTGTGGCACCTGCCTTTGATCACAGCATAGGAGCAGTCAGGAGGATGTCTGAGTTTGAGGCCAGCCTGGTCTATATAATGAGCCCTGTCTCAATAAATAAATAAATGCATGTGGTAATGCTTTATATTTCATATTCTACTTGTGTCTAGTCAGTTTGTAGTCAAACTGATTTCTTTAAACAAAAGCCTTCGAAGCATGACGTATCTTGTTTAGATTGGCGGAGGTGGTAGTGAGGATAAAATGTCCTGGGAATAGGGGGCTGTGTAAGTAAGCATGACCTAGCTGAGCATCAGATCAACAGCTGAAAAAACAAAACAAAACAAAAACCCCTCTACCTGCTAGGGACCATTCCTGTAAAACTTCCCTTCATTTCTTAGGTGGGGGAGCAGTTGACGCGGTTGCTGGTAAGTCTGGTTAGGGGTTCTGAGAAACTGTCAGATTTGAGCAGGCAATAACTTTTTGAAACTTGAATTCCTTCATCTGCGAAGGAGAAACAGTATACCCGCTGCTCAGCATCTTCCGAAAACAGCATCTAGCTAGCTAGTCAGGGACCTGGCTCCTCCCGACCCCAGGACTCCTCCCTGCGCGCTCTGCCAGTCTTGAGGGGCGTGGCCGCACTGCGGGGGCGTGGCCGCGTCATGGGGGCGGGGCGGGCGACTCAGCCCATCGCACGATGTGACGCGCCGCCGGAGGCAGGCCGGGCCCTCAAGATGGCGGCGTGCGCCCGGAGCGGCTCGGCCCGGCAGTAGTGGCGGGACCGCACTCGCCGCTGGGGCCGCCCGCCCCCTGAGTGGCTGCTGCAGCGCCGGGAGTCGAGGATGGTAAAATGACCCAGGGGAAGAAAAAGAAACGGGCCGCGAACCGCAGTATCATGCTGGCCAAGAAGATCATCATTAAGGACGGAGGCACGGTGAGTCTTGGTTCCGCGCCGCAGGGCGGCCCCGGCGCGGGCCCAGCTCGCTCTTCCCCCTGCTTCCGCCTTCGCCGGCCGGGAGCACCCAGCCGGCCCGCACTGCCGGCGCTGCCGCGGTCTCCACCTGCGGCCTCCGCGGCCTGCCTTCTTCGGAAGCCGCCCGCACCTGCGGCCGGTCGCGGCGTCTCGGGAGCCTGCGGCCTCGGCCCACGTGCACCGGCCGCGGGGGGAGGCGTCGGCCCCTCCGTAGCTCCGCCAGGCCCAGCGCGGCGCGCGGGGAGGCCGGGCAGCGCTGCGCTCCATATGCTGTGGCGGGTGGCCGCCGCCGCCGCGGCCCGCTGGGCCAGGGTACGTGCGTTGTCCCGTCGTGGTCGCCGGGAGCCGGAACGGCGGCTCTGAACCGCCCCGGGCTCGGTGACCCCGTCGCGGGGTGGGCTCGCCTGGGCTCCCGGCGTCGGAAGCCTGACCTTACTACCTGGGGCCTATACATACTCTCCTTTAAAGAAGTCGTCACCTTGTGCTTCAAAATAACAGTCTTTAAATTGTCATGGGGTG